GGCGTCCGTCTCAAATCAATCGTAATTCAATTTGAACTCTGCTGAAAAACGACTTCTATTCTGCCTTTAGCAAGTAAACATCGGCACCAATATGGGGCATCATGCCACTTTTAAACTCTTCTCTCTAGGGAACTGTCGCTGGAAGAGTTTCGCAAAAGATTTCACTATGATAAATTGAGATTGTTCCACGCAGTTATAGCGAAGAAGTAAGGGGCGAGGGCAGCCGATAATAACTGCTAGAGTATTAGTAGCTAAAAAAGAGGAAAAGTATCACCTCTCTACGAGGTGCTTCCCACTTTTTTGCCACCAAAGTAGTTGGACAATCTTTGTCTTCATTCAAGAAGGCCGTCTATTCTTCTGTCCGGTGCTTTCACAAGGAAGCCGTCCATTAGAAAATTCCGCTGAGTAACTTCCCAGGGTAAGGGAGGTTATTGCACAGCAGAAGGCCTCCTTGTGAAAGTACTGGACAGAAGAATTAAAAGGGCAAAAAATGGTAATTTGGTGTCGCAATGGGGAGACGGGTCTATCCAGAAAGTTGGGCATATCGAAAAAGTGAAAGGTTAGGTTGCACATTCTACTGAACACAAAGGCTGGACCTCGGAGTGAAAATTAAAGAACGCAGGGTAAATAAATTCTTTCGGGCTGCGCCATGAATTCGACTTTCACTCAGAAACGAAGAATTGTTTGGACGCGTATCTGGCTAAAAGAAACATTTGCATGCGTGTTTGTCTTACGATAAACTCTGCGTATGCCAATCAGTGTTTGGGGACAGGGGGACTCCACAGATACGATACTTACGATTAGGTGGTAAGCAATCCGAAGGGTGGTCGTGTTGTAGAGTGCCTGATGTCACTGTCCCATCCTCTCCCTCGAAATATCGGTACGCGACCCACTGAGTCTATATCTTTGGGAAAACTGATCATACTTCTTTCGACTATCCTCCCCGCCTCTTCCACCCACTTCCCCTTTCCTCCTTCTCCATCGCTCTTCTATCCAGCCAACAGTAGAACGTTTCCTTCTAGCCTTCTTCCCTAACAAGGTGATACGATATTTTTTGTCTTTACTGTTCCATTCTTGAGAAAATGAACTGGATAGCACTCAAAATTTGTCCTCGCGAAAAAGATTTCGCTGAAATTTGGCTCTCATTGGAGGTTCAGTAGTTTATCCAGCACACATGAGTAAAAAAAAGCCGCTTTTCTCTTGGCCGTCGTCTCTTATGATGTGTGGTCTGCACTCGATTTTCTTCTCGTCTTCCGAAATAGAGTATACTTACGAGGAATGGTCAATTGGTCAGTCCGGCCGTTTGTAATGAGATGTAGTCCAATGGACGCGTCTTGCGACGCTGAGCTCAAATCCGTTTTCGTTATCTGCGGAACGATTCTCTGAGAGAAGTTAGGGGGATTTTTCTCTTTGTGACTTTCCCACTGTGGCACCCTCTACATCACCTTAGCTCTTTCTTTATTTCCTGTGCAACTGCGAAAAGCTGTTTTGTTTTGATCACCATGTGAAGAACTATCACATATGCTCACGAATTATTGAAATTTTGTATATTTACGAGCCTGTGTCCTTGTGTTTTGTCCCGTGTGTCAAAGTTCATCATAATAGAAAACCTAAAAAGAACGGACGAGAGGAAAATTCCAAAGTCTGTCTCAGCCACATGTCAAGTGGGGGGACGCAAATCAACAAAATAACCAAATATAGACACTTTTTGGGCTCGTATGAGAAGCCATGAAAAAATGCAAAAACTTTGCGGTTCTATGGATCCGATCCTGTGACCTCTCCCGTATGAGTCTAGGGAGATATCCATTAGGCCACTTTGCCAACTGTGTGAGATGCTCTCTGGCTCTTCTTATGCGAACCGTGTAGGACAGGGGAATGTAGAGGATGCCACAGTGAAAAAAGCCATAGTGAGAAGATCCCCTCGTAACTTCTTTCAGAGAATCGTTCCGCAGATAACGAAAACGGATTTGAGCTCAGCGTCGCAAGACGCGTCCATTGGACTACATCTCATTATAAATGGCCGGACTGACCAGTTGAGCATTCCTCGTTAGCACGAGGAGTACCTCGTACCGCCGACGCTAGCTGCTCAAAAATTCTTGGAATACCGTTGTAGCTGAAAGCTTGTCCTCGTATACTTACCCGGGAATACGATGAACCCAATCAAGGGCGAAGTCGCTTGGAGTTTCACCGACTTTCACGCTTGTGCTAACAAATGTGATAGCGCCGGCGCCTTAGGGATGGTGTTTATCGGCGCAAAAAAGTTTCATATCCGGCCCCCCTACTCTCAAGAAGCAAATTTACAGACACATTGGGCAAATTTTTCAAACATCTCCTCTAAGGGGCAGTGAGGAGGGTAGACTGCCCAGAAATTTCATTGTGAATAGCAGTTGAGAACAAACAGATAAACTAACTTAGGAATCAATTTAGGTGTGAAGCAAGGAAGGATGGAGAGGTTCAACCAATTACATGGGCTCGATTTTTTCGAATCAAGGAGAAGAAAGCTGTAGCGGTAGGGAAATTTCTTCTTTGCTCTATCAAAAACGTACCTCGGATGCGTGTCTAGTTCCTCGCTTCCGAACTAATCCAGCGATTAATTCTAGTTTTTTTTTCCAGTTGTGACACATTGACCCAAACTTGGTTTTTGGCCCTATCAGTGTCATTCAGGCTCGCTTGGATCCCAACAACCGACGCGCTCGTCTCATATTCGGAAATGCGACAGCTGCTCAGGCGGGAAAGTACCGTTGTGAAATCCGTACCGAAGATGGGGAATTAGTGTTTGGAAATATGTTTGCCTACTGTAAGTGTTTTTTTTTGCCGCGGAGATCTGCTTTGTTGGAAAAAAAATGCGTTTTTCTTGTTGTTTTTAGCGCGTCCGGTTATACACGGGAATGCGTCTGACCCTATGGAGGTATCACCATCAGATCCAACGCTCGTCACTTCAGGACCATTATCTTTTGCCAGAGACTCTAACGCGACCATTCACTGCCCGGTGTATGCTTATCCACATCCACAAATTGTATGGTACAAAGATGGAATACCTCTAGGTTGGTCCTTTTGTTTAGGAGCCTTAAAAAATTTAAGTTATGGAAGAATGTTCAGAGTCCTCAGCTCGAGTTAATTTCCATAAAAATGCTGTCGAAATCAGTGGATTGGAGGACACAGATGCTGGCATGTATCGGTAAGTCTTAAGGATGAGCTAAGATTGTGGTCTATTGCGCCGAGTCTTAGAGATCTGAATCCAAGATTTGGCATCAGTTTTTCTGTAATAGTGGAGCAGTGGCATGTGGCGCCGCTATCACCGCCATAGTTCGATCGAATCCTCTGACAGGTCTCGTCCAGTCTTAGGCCGATGTCAGACTTTGCGAATCGCGCGATTCGCTAGCGTCTGCGGTCGCGTCGCGGCCAGTGAATCACTCAATTGGCTGGTACCGCAACGCGACCGCGGACGCCAATTAGCGATTCGCTGGCGAAAGGCCGATGTCAGACTTTGCGAATCGCGCGATTCGCAAAGTCTGACATCGGCCTTAGTGAGGTCTTTCTCGATGGTATACCTCCACCGATTCTTTGAGGCTCATTGGGTCCGCTGTTCGTTAATCGTCGCCAATCTTGGTATTCAAAGCATCTTTTAATGTTGCTTCGACCTCACGATCAGTGTGGTACTTCCTGATGGCGTCCCTCCACTTTTTCTTTGGCGCTCCTTGTGGTCGCTCGTTTTGCGCCTCAAAGTACGGTGCCCCACATCGCTTGATTTCGTAACCATCTCAATATGTATACCGCCACAGACGCTTCCCTCACGCTTTTAGTTGGACAGGGAACGCTTGACGTCCTTGATCCTGACCCAATCTCGTTCAGCCGTTGATCCATACTATTATAGTACCCTTATATCGACAAAGTGAAGCTTCCGTTCATGTTTCTTGCCAACGGAAGCGCGGGTGCAGTTGAACATTTCGGGGTTCACCCTGTCCGGACACATCTCTTCTGAACGTCCAAGACGCCGTGGACTGCAAAGGATGCCACTGGGGTCCCTATATTCCATCCATGTCCCATTTATTCCGAGCTGTAATTCCTGGACCGCGTTGCCGTCAGTAGCTAACTCAATTTCGAGATATCGGAAGCAGGCAACCGTCGCGTTCCTAATTTCTTTGAGAAACATACGATCTTCCCCACCACCCCCTCCCCCTCTGCAGAAAGTGGTCTCGATACGTCCCCAACCCCCATCAGCCATGGGAGGATCCACCCATGTTCGCCCTCTACCACCCTCCCCCCACTCTCCCCCTTCCCCGAGACCACTTCACAACCATGGCTATTCCTGTAGTATTTGAATTTGAGATCATTCGACGCAACCCAGCTCCTCCTAGTTCCCCCTGCAAAATGGCCATCGAGAAATATTGCTATGCAAACGGCAGATCTCTGATTGCACCTTTCCGTGTATTGTTTGAAGGTAAAACTGTCAAACACGACCTCTCCCACAAACTGTCAAACGCGACCTCTCCCACAAC